TGCATAACCAATGGACACAGGCAATAGCGTGGTGAAGGCCGGGAAGGGAAGATGTGGGGTGGAGGGGGTCAATGGGGAAAAAGGGGGGATATCTGTAATACTTTCAACAATAAAGATAAATTTAAAAAAAGAATCAACTAATGAATGCATAAATAGGTGGAACAACAAATCTTTCTCTCTCTTTCTCTCTCTTTCCCCCTTCCTCCCTCTCTAAAATCAATCAATAAATAAATTTTTAAAGCCAGGGAATTACAAGTTATGGTATGAGGATATGGAAAGATTAGAACACTAATACACTGCTATGGAAATGTAAAATGATGCAGCCACTTTGAAAGTGCCTGGCAGTTCCTCAGACATTAAACACATTGTTGCCATTTGACCTAGTACTTCTACTATATACCAAGAGAAATGAAAACTTATGTCCACACAGAAACATGTACATGAATGTTCATGGTACCATAATTCATAATAGCCAAGAGGTGAAAATAACCCCAACATCCGTCAACTGATGACTGTATAAGCAAAATGTGACATATCCATACAATGGAATATTATTCAGCCACAAAAAATAATGAAGTGCTGATACATGCTGTAATGTGCATGAGCCTTGAAAATATTATGCTAAGTGAAATAAGCCACTCACAAAAGACCACCTATTGTATGATTCCATTGATATGAAATGTCCCAAATTGGCAAATCGAATAGGGACAGAAAGTAGACAAGTGGTTGCCTAGGGCTGGGTGGGCAGGGGGTAGAATTGAGAAGCAGTGGCTAAGGAGTATGGGGTTTCTCTTTAGGGTGATAAAACTGTTCTAAAATTGATTGTGGTGATGGTTACACAACTCTGAATATACTTTAAATGGGTAAGTTAAAAAACAAACAAAGATGAAAGGGGTTGCCTGAAGTATTTGAGCATAGAGGAGTTGTAGCAGGCTCATGGGGTGGGCAGAGCCTCAGCAGTGTGCTTGGTCTGGGCTTCCTGGGAGCCCGTGGGGCTGGATTTCTAATGGGAAAGGAAGAGAAAGGACAGAGCTGGCTCCCCTTCTCTGTGATTATCTCTTCAGATAAAGAAACATTATGACGTTTGATTTAGATGATAATAAATGGCAGAAATTATCCTGACATAACAGATGGAGGAAACCTACCGAAATAGCAAGTTCTTTTTTCAAGCACTGACATGAAGGACGTTTTAAGATGTCCTCTATCTCCAGTAAGGCTACAGAGAGCGGGTTGCCCTAACTGACCATTCGGGAACACAGGCCTCACCGTACGGCCTTTGCCTGTCATTTACAAAGTTGCCACCAAATGATCAGAGATAAAGTATGAGTGAAGTAAAATTCTCGGCTGAGAGGAGCTGGAGAGAGAACCTGAGTGCTCAAGGGGACATAAGCCTCCTATTTGCTGAGTGCCCTGTGCCAGGTAGTGTCGCCATTTGGGGAAGGAGCCTGTGACTGTTGGTCACTGGGAAGGGAGGCTAGTTGTGAATAAGCCATTGTTTGAGACCAGACGCCCCACCCTCCAGGGGCAGCACAGGGGTGGGCCTCTGCTGAACTTGCAGGAGGGCACCACCTAAACCACACACTGGACATTTGGTTTTATGACCTTGAGTTGTTTCTTGCTTCCCCAGAAAGTTTACGTATAGGAAAATGAGGTAGAAGGAAGAAGCTTCCAGGGCAAATATGGATAAAAAATGTCTCTGAATAGGTGAATAACATATTCCGACAATGTCCAGTGAACTGTCACAAGTAGGGAACTTGTCCCAGGATTTCCCTGACCCACTGGCCTGAGAATATGTGTAGGGATATAACTAGTTAGGCTTTTTTGCAAACAAAACATCCTGTTTTTATGGTTTGTGAAGCAGCTTCATGTGTTAGAAGAGCACTGGCCAGGGAGTTGGACAGCCTTTGTTCTAGTCAAAGCTTTGCTACTAGCAAGATGTCTCCCTGGGAACAGGTGGCATCTCTTCCCAGCCAAAAGTGCCCCATCCCCTGAGGTCCTGTTTTAGTCAATCTGCGTGAGGTCTAGAAGCTCCCATGTAACATTCTGATGCTCATGCTGGCTGGGAACCAGTGGATGAAAGGCCTTCCTCTCTGATTCTTGGTTCCCCACTGCCCCCAGGATGCACTGATCTGTCCCCCAGGGAAGCCTAAGTCAGCTCCATGGCAGCTGTCTGAGAGGTCTGCCCACGGTAAATAACCTGGGCGTCTTAGGTTGGAAGATTTTTGGCATCTCTTCTTGCACCTAATTGCATTTGTGCTTGTTTTGGGAAAATACTAAAGATAAGAACAACAATAATAACATTCCTCAGGGGCCAGCTACAAAGAAATACAGTGGTAGCTTTAGGTCTAATTGACCTTGTAAAATACTAGATGGTGCTTTCACAAGTATCTTTTTTTTTTTTTACAAAACTTAGTCATCTAAATTTTCAAATATTTTTTACCCTACAGAAAGAATAAAAATGACATAAGCAAACTCATCTTCAAAAGTGGAGATTTCCAAATGTCCCCGTATGCTGAGTACCCCAAGAACCCTCGCTCACAGGAATGGGGCCGAGAAGCTATCGAAATGCATGAGAACGGAAGTACCAAGAACCTCCTGCAGATGACGGATGTGTACTACTCGGTGTGTATTCCCGTGTCCAGGGTGGTCCCAGGCCCCGTTCCCTCAGAATGAAAGGGATTCTGTTTTGCTGTGGTGAAAGCACTGCAGCTGGTTACGGGTTAAAGAGAATGATGGCCTAAGCCTCTTATTCACATAACTGAATGTTCAATTCACTTATGACCTATTTGCATATTATTTATTAGAATTGATGTTGAGATATTTCCACAGAGCACGTTACTTTTATGGGATTGTAGCAGTAACCCTCTTGTTACCGTCCTTGCTTTTAAGTTACAGGATTGGATACTGAGAGAGAGAGAGAGAATGTAGTGATATTCAGCCTTTGGCCCTCTCATTTTTCTCTCTTGTCTGCCACCTTTGACCTCATGTGGTTGGGTAATCGAAACCGAGAGGCTGGAGAAAGGTTATAAAGAGACCAATTCAACATCACCCTCGACCAGCACTTCTCAGAAGTTTCGGAGATTATATATTTAGTAGGTGTTTAATAATTTGCTATGCCCAGCCCCGGATTACGTCTCTTGGACAGATGTGACACTCCCTTCGCCCCTTGCTACTTCTGTCCCACATTGAGTAACCCATGTCCTATTCCCATGCACTGCTCAGTTCACTTCACATTACACTGTGTCAGCCATAAAGCAAACACATAAAGCTGAAAAATAAATAGATGTCAGGTGACTTCTCACACCATGCGGACTGTCTGAGCTATAGCAATAAACATGAAACCTGGCCCCACAGGGACTTAATAGCACTAGGCGAGCCTGTGACAGAAACCACAACCCCTCTGGTTGCTATGGGGATTAGCCATGGGGGTTCAGACTTTGGATGGGAAGGGCAGGTTTTTTCATGCTGAGAAAGCTGTTGTTTCCATGGGCTCTTTGACAAATTTAAACCCGGAGGAAGAACGAGAGGACACGGGAAAGAGAAGCGTAGACACAAGCTTAGCTCTTGTTTAAGTGGTTCGGTCGATGTTTCCGCATAAGGGGTTTGTTTTCTCTGTGTGTCAGGAAAGTCCTTTTGCTCTAATAACTGCAGCCATAACTCCAGGGGTCTCACCCAGGAGTGACCGCACACTCACAGCCTTTGCTAGGGTCTCCTCAACCCCAGCGTGGTGTGACAACCTAGGACCCAGCTGTGTGTTTCCATGGCGTTAGCTAGCGAGTTGCCTTAAATAGACATTGTCGAGAACTTAAATGAACCCCATCTGCATTTAAAAAGAGGCCGAGCACTCTAGAAGCAGAGCCTAAGCTACCGCGTGAAGCCGTCACCTGTGTGAGAGCGCTGTCACTCGCCCGCCGTGGTCTCAGGCGTGCATTGGGCTTTGCGTTTGTTATATGCAGTATCTAGTGTTTTATTTCTGCCAGGCAAGCATTTCCCCTGCTGGTCCCGAATGAGGGCCTGCACATCAGATAGGGAGGTAGTCACAACCCACTAAGCTGGGACCTGGTCAGATACCTAAGAATCGCTGTGGCTTCCTGCTTTGGGGTCCTAACTCCCTCCACCTCCAGCAGGGGGTCACACAGCCGAGTTCAGCTAAATGCCAGAGAGGATTTAATGCTGTTGTGCTCTGCAGAGAAAAACACTTTTTTAAAAGGTCAAGCTAATAATCAGATGATAATTTACCTTGATAATAATAAAGATAATAATTAACCCAGGTATTTTCCTTTGTTGTTCAAAAACCACTGGACTGCTCTTGATTAAAGTTTTTTCCATAAAGAGACGGCCTGGAGGAGGGTCCTGGCTTCTAGGTCAGACCTTGCTCTGCTTTGTACTAACTGCCTCCATCTGAGGTTTATTAAAGTGCAGCTTTCTTTTAAAAAAAAACAAACTATTAAATTTAAATGATGAATCATAAATTGACTTTTTTTCCTTTTTTCTTTGGCCACCAGCCCACAAGTGTAAGGAATCCTGAACTTGAACGAAACGGACTCTACCCGGCCTACACTGGATTGCCAGGATCACGGCATTCTTGCATCTTCCCGGGACAGTATAACCCATCTTTCATCAGTGATGAGAGCAGGAGAAGAGACTACTTTTAAGTGAGAAGAGAGAGGAGCCCGTTGCTCTGAGCAAGTGGCCAGGGACCGCAGTTGCCCAGAGGACTGCACCTGGGGAGCCCCGCCGGCTGGCTGCTCCCAGGACCTGGGGAGCCACACTGGAGTGGCAGGCAGAATGTGGGATAGGTGTGAAGGGCGTGGCCACAGTGGGAGAGGACAGATGGAACCTGTGGACGTGACGCTGCAGGCTGCTCACTTGTTACTGTGAATGTGAACATGGCCAGTACCAGGAGGTCTCTGAGTGACTGTGGCTCGTCCGCTGGCTGCAGGGGTGATGTCAGCTGGGCAGCTCATAGGCACACCACTGCAAGGACCCGGTTTCTCCTTAGTTTGCACTTTAGTAAATTGGGTAAGGGGTCTCCTTTCGGATTTTTTTCAAGACTGTCCTAGAAAGAAGGTCTCATTTCCCCAGACATTTCCATAGGCCTCAATTTGGTGATTAATTTATAGCAAAATATGGGCTCTTTTGTTGTTTTCCTGCCCAGCACCACGTGCTAACAACAGGTGGTGGTGATGAACATACCACTAAGGTTTGGAGATGTGGTAGGTGTTTCTAGGTCTTCTTGTGCTACAGTTTCCAAGCCAATCCCCAAAATGAGAAATTGTGAGGCACAGCACACAACTCCAGTTTGTCTTTTGAGTCAAGGTGACACCTGGATTTAAGATTATTTCTTCCCTTTGCAGTTAAATCTCACTTTTTCAAATAAGTCTAGATCAGGGCAAAATTACTTCCACTTGGTTTTAGTTCGAGGCATCCAGCTGCCCTGCAGTGAGGCCCAGCGAGCAGCCCTGGGGCACTGAGGCTGAGCAAAGGCCCCAGAGGAAGAGTTAGACCTGCAGGCGGAGGGGCGCTTTTCATCCCTGAGGACAGAGCCTGGCACCTGGGGCTCTCACCGTCATTTTTGAGGCCCAGACTGCACCACATGGAGTAGAAATGCTAAGCTGAATGCAGGTCGGGTCTGAGCTGGTGTTGCACCACTAAAGGAAAAGCAGCTTGTGTAAGCCTGACAGCTGACTGTGGTTAGAGGAATGGGCTGAATAGGCGAGTTCGCTGCCTGAAACACCAGTGCTCTGGGACGCACCGGGAGATGCCTGAGGAAGGCTGGGGAGCGGGGATGGAGCCACACGTGAGTCTGCTCACCTCCAGGTGCTGCACCGTTGATTGTATCCCTCCTCTTGTCCACCAGCTCGTTATAAACTTTCATCCAACTGCTCAGAGCTATTTATTCACTGAAGATGTAACTTATTTTCGCTCATCTAGTGATTTGCCCCGCTTTATACTACTATACAGTTCCCTCCGGAAACACGGCTCTAATTCAAGTCAGCATCAGAGAACTAAAGACTTCGGGACAGGTAGGAAGTGAGAGTTTGCCTTTGGGAAGGGACTTTCTCGCGTCTTATTTATTATGCCTGTGGCATGGGTCCTGCGACGGGGGCATATCCAGTGCTCTGTCCTTAGCTGCTCCTTGTGGACCTGTGATGATTCTCGCCATCCGCTTCTGGATGAAATGAAGAGAACACGGGGTAAAGGAACTCTCGCCCTGAAGCCCAGAGTTCAGTGGAACCCATAGTTTTGGAAATGGGGTAGACTTGGGGACAGTTCTGTGCTCGGCATGGCTGTTTCTTCAAGGTTCTTAACCTCTTTAGAATGTATCTAATGCCTATTCTTACGTGATTCTCATCTTAACAGTTTTAAGTGCGAACCCCTGTGTCCCGTGGTCTCCAGGGGCCCTCACTCCCCTGCGGCCGCGGGAACGCGTCAGCTGTGAGGCCTATTAGAAGTTAAATTGCACTCATCTCTTGAGATAGATACAAAAAGAACTCTGTTTTAATCAACGGATGCCCACTTAAAATTTCAGAGCATCACCTTTTTGAAATCTTGGGTCTTGCATCTCCCTGTGGAACCAAACAGCCCTTTGTACTCATGGCCTCACATCTAACTAGAGAGCTCTGAGCTCCTGCACTCAGCTCACCTGAGCCAGCAGACTTGAGGTGGCCTGGCTTCCTGGCTCTCGAGCAGATCCTTGCTCGTCCCCAGGACCCAGAGCCACGGTGGGGGTGGTCCTCAGGCATGCGCGCCTGCCACCTTCAGCTGCCACCACGTCATCTCCTGTATCTGGGCCAGAGCTCTGAGCTCCACAAAATGAAGGGTTCCGTCCCAAAAGCATTCTTGAGAAGAATCCTGAAAAGTACGTCCTGTGAGCTCCAAGAATACTTTCCTGTGAATGGGTTTTGTGCATATGAAGTGGATTAAGAGTGTTGTTTTTCTTTTACTGTGAAAAGAGCAGGTCACCTGCAAGGTTGAGTTCACAGAGACTCTGCAGTTGCTAGGAGGCACGTGGGGGTGGGGAGGGTGCATCTGCAGGGCATGAGGGTCTAAGAAGGCATGAGGACAGCGTGACAGTCGGTGCCAGCTTACCCTGGGCGAGGAAGGGAGCGGCTGGCTTCATTCCTGCTCGGGGTTGGTCATACCTACGTAAGGGCCCTTTCTGCCAAGGGGCCACACCTAATAGGGGGGCAGCCGCCTCTGGACTGAAGTGACAGGACTGGATGCACCCCTGGCAAACAAGCTCTCAGCTCTGGCACAGGGGCTCAGTGTCATCTCCGCACCTGGAATCCATGGGCACAGAAATGCCACAGTCCTACGTCCCTGGGTGGGGCCCACAGCCGGGGGAAGGTGGGAGGAAGGGGAAAGTGACACTAACTGCCCACGAGACCCTTAAATTTTTGTAGGGACGAGTGGGGCTGAATGGAACCCACCTGTCCCGCAGCATATCTGAGCAAGGTGACTCGCAGAGCAGGGTGGTGCTCACCTGCTGGCCTCCTAGTATCTGTGGCTTTTGTTTAAGCTCTTAACCAAAAGGTCTGATTTCTCCTGTCCTTTCCTCTTTGTCCCATGAGCCCTCCCAGGGCTGTAGAGACAAAATAGGAAGCCTAAAGAGTCACACAGCATCTCTGGTGTTCCTGCCGTGGCCAGGCTCCATGCAAGGTACTTGGCCTCAGGACACCCTTGCGAGGTGGGCATGAGATGCCCATTTCTCAGGTATGGGAAACTTCAGAGAGGATAATTGCCTTGGGGAGCCAGGATTCACACCCTTTTGCCTGGCTTGCTCTTCTCACTATCCTCCTGCCTCACCATCCAGTGCGCTTTAAATATCAAAGGGCATCAGAGAGTGGGCTGTAAATACCTTATTGTTTTTTAAAGAACCTTAATGTTATTAAGCAATAACTAAACTAATGACATGCAAAAACAAAATGTTGACTCCCCTTTTGAAAAAGCACTTTCAGGTTTGTCATTACATGGACTTCTTGGACACTTGCGGCCATTAAGAAGATAGTGGCTGGCTTGTGCTTAGCAAGAAGCACATTGGTATGTGGCTTTGGGTGTAGGAGGTGTAAGGTAATGATGACCTGGTTTTTTGACACACAGCCAGAGTTAAATGTCTATCTGAGGGCCACTTTGAAACGTTTATTTTCAGAAGCAGCGAAGTCATTTAGAGCCAAAATTGCTGAGTGGATAGTGTAATCAAGCTGGCTGGTAGCATGGGGTCAGAAACTAAGATGTGATTGTTAAGTTCTTGAAGAGGTGACTGTAAAAGTTGGTCCGAAAGAGAGGGCAGCATCTTTTCAATACAAGGCTGGATGGCTGCCCAAGAAAATGTCTTTGAAGGATATTTATTCAGATGTGAAAGTTCTCAGAGCAGACACAGTAGAGTCTTGTATGTGACTTTTGGGGGCTTCTATTTAGCCACCCTGCCCACTGGTGAAGTGCCCGGGTGCCTGTAGCTCTAGGAACTTTGCCTGGAGATGCTAGAGTTGTATTGTCCAGTTGTCTCTGGATTAGTTTTGCCTAATGAACCCACCACTTAGGTGTGACCCATAGTTCTAAGATACACTGATTTCAAAACAAGCAATTCTGTGGAAAGAGGAAGAATTTCCGTATTTTACGTCTTGTTTAAAACTACCCTTACTGTCAGAGATATTTTTTTCTATGTGAATATTTTTGCGGGGACTAGAAGGGACATTTTATTTCACTCTGGGGTTCTTGTGTATGTGTTTGGAAAATGATACCCGGTTTTGCAGAGTTGGCTTTTGAGTACAGTGTGTATTCTTTTTTCTTTTTCTTTTCTCCAATCCCCAGAGAAGGGAACGGGTTGAAATACTAGGAACATTAGAGTATTAAATGTCAGTTAATTTGTTGTGCTAAAATATCCTTTTAATAATGTTATAATCCATCCTATTTGGTGTAAACTGCTCACAGAAAAACCTGTGAAGCCAAAGGGGACAGTTTGGGTCTGAAAAGAGACAGATCTCAGACTGGCTCTGTCCCCTTGGCATTTTTTAAGAGGACACATGAGGTCTGGTTCTATTGTCGTTTTGTGGACACACCTAATGCACATCAGATGCAGGGTCATTAGGGAGGAAGGACGGGACCACACAGGGATGGATGGAACCAGTCTACCTTGGGGAACTAACCCGAGTCACTTATCTTCCTCTGTTACCTTGGTATGTTTCTTTACAAAAAAGGTCTTTCAACATGGGCTGTGAGTTTTCTCAATGTTTGTGTTGCTGGATTTACGGTGAGAGGAAGCATGTAGCTGGAATCTGAACTGTTTGAGTTTTCACATCCTGGATCTCTCTCTGCAAACTTCTACACCTTAGCCCCCGATTGATTGTGTTAAACCCATTATGAGAGTGTTATTTAAAGTTGTATTATAATGGCAACCTCCACTAATTATTCAGTACTGTAGCAGCAAAGTATTATTTGTAAAAATTCAGTTATTTTTATACTTATACTCACTATAAGTCTGGCGTTCTAGTCAGTAAAATGATGCAATAAAATAAATATCATTTTCTTTGTGTGTTTTTCTTGTAAAAACAAGCAAACCAAACAGAGTACAGCAAACCGTTTTCCCCGAGGCATCACGTAAACCATGACCCCCTCTACAGTGAGCCCTTACACAGTGAACTCCCACATGGCAAATGAAGGGACCGAGTATTTCTGTGTCCTCAGTGCCCAGCACCGTGAGGAGATATACTTTTTTTTTTTTTTAATATATCTTTATTGATTTCAGAGAGAGGAAGGGAGAGGGAGAGAAAGAGATAGAAACATCAATGATGAGAGAGGCATTGATCTGCTGCCTCCTGCACGCCCCCTACTGGGCATCGAGCCCGAAACCAGGGCATGTGCCCTGACCGGGAATCGAACCGTGATCTATTGGATCATAGGTCGACGCTCAATCGCTGAGCCACGCCCGGCCAGGTGAGATATGCTTTTGATGATGGATAGATAGATAAATGATAAAAAGCCTAATTCAGGTATAACACCTGCTTTGTTTACTTCTCTTTCTATGGATTGAGAGCATAAGGAACCAATTCAGACACTGAAAATTTCCACCTGAATTCCTCCCACTACCTCTCCATGCCAGTTCTGTATGTCTTGGAGGAGAGGGGAAAGTAAATATCTGTGCTCTGGTGAAGAGACTATGGAGCTTTAAGATAGTGGGTCGTGGGCCTTACACTTACAGGGGCTCATGAACGTGGCTTCCTGGCTCAATGTATGTTAATGAGTTGCTTCCTTGGGTGTCTTTCGTGGCAGGAGATGGATGAGCCCCTCAGATTCAGCTGTATGACCGAAACCTTGGCACTAGGAGAGACCATTAAGGGCAGCTGAGGCACACCGGTGGTTTCTGGGCAGATCAGGCATTGTAGCCCACCAGACAGCCCTGAATGGGGATGACCAGCAGCACTCTCCCTTCCTGGCCTGCCCCTCCCACTGAGCTTTCCAGCTTAACAGAAACCCAGCGCTGGGCCCTTTATTGTCCTGCTCAGCTCAGCCAAACATTATAAACATCACAGATGCCAGGAAAAAGATATTTGTGCTGCCTTTTATTGACCTCATAAAAACTTGCACAATCAGAAGGTCTGGGCGCTGACAACTGGTATAAGACCCTTTTCTAACAACTTCATGGCTGTTTTCCCCAGATTGTGATGTCAAGCCTAAGAGTCTGCTCAGCTCTCTGAGCCTCTGTGTCCTAATCGGTGATGTGGGGATAATAATTACTGTCTCCCACAGCTGTTATGAGGATTCAAGGGGAGAATTCATATGAAAACACTCTGTAAGCTGCAAAGAAACATAACACACATTGGTTCTCTTAAATAGGGCCTTACTGTCACCACAAGAAAGTCTCACAATCATAGGATTAATATGTCATTTCAATGCTGATTCACTAGTAACTGGTCCTGAAGACCTTAGACTTGATTCAACTTTTTGGAAATCAATGGCATGTGGTGATGGAAGGCAGAATTGCCAGCAATAGGTGTTGACCAGGTCATGACAAAAAAAACATATGTCAAAAGTGACTCTTAGGCCCTGCGGGTGTGACTCAGTGGTTGAGCATCAATCTGTGAACCAGGAGGTCATGGTTCCATTCCAGGTCAGGGCACGTGCCCAGCTTGCAGGCTCAATCCCCACTAGGGGGCGTGCAGGAGGCAGCCGATCAATGAGTCTCTCTCATCGTTGATGTTTTTATTTCTCTCTCCCTCTCTCAAATCAATAAAAACATTTAAAAAAAATAGTGATCCTTAGCCTGAGAGGAAGCAGATCTTCAGGATTTTTGAAGAGGATGGCTATAGACCCTAGGGGAAGGAAGGTACAGGGAAACCTCTGCAAATGAAGTGATGTGTCCCAGCACCATCCCCTGTGGTAAGCATCAGTAGTCAAGGTAGAAATTATACAAGTGGAGAAAAGGTATGTTTCAGGACATTTGAGAGGAGACCTTTTGCTTTAAGAAATATTAACTACAAATGAAAACAACACTATGAAACATAAAATACAGAGTCCTGGAGTCTCAGGTCTGGAAGAGATCTTAGCCACTGTTTATTCCAACTACCCTTGAAAAGTACGTAAATCCCCTCTCAGCTGAGTAGCTTTCCCGGGAACAAGGAGCTCATCTGCTTTGAGGAAGCCCCCTGCTTATCTCAATAACTCCAACTACTAGAAAGTTCTTTCCTACTTCAACCCAGTTAGTTCCCCCTTCCTGGACAAGAGTCTTCTTGGGAGGGGCAAGGAGCTTGAAGGGGGTGAAAGTACTGGATTTAGGTTAGGGCTACATGGGGACAGATTTGAGCAAAGCTGAACAGGAGCGAAGAGAGGTGACGCTGGGAAGGAGGGTCCGTATGAGGGCCGTGGGCTCCAGGTGCAGACAGACAGCAGTGATAGGGGCACAGGTTCTTCTGCTCTGGGTGAGCCACAAGCAGCTTTCCAGGGACACTTGAAAAATGTGTGAGGAGAAAGAGGCCCTTGCCCACCTCTGCCCTGCAGGCATGGTGGGGGATGGCAGAGGCTGACAAGGCGGTGGAACAAGACAAATGACCCTGACCACTCACACAGACTTCCTAGATTCACACCCCCACTTACTAGCTCTGTGGCCCTGGGCAAGTTATTTTTAATCTCTTTTTAATTTTTCAGATGTAATAATATAGAACTTACCTCTTAGACNCACACCCCCACTTACTAGCTCTGTGGCCCTGGGCAAGTTATTTTTAATCTTTTTAATTTTTCAGATGTAATAATATAGAACTTACCTCTTAGATTTGTCATGAGAGTTAAATAAGTCAATGTCTATAAAACACTTACACCAGGACTCTACATGTAGTAAGTGCAGTGTGTTAAATGTAAAACATTTTGGAGTTCAAACTAAATGAACCATGACTTGGGATTCATGTTTATGTAGCTGACTTAATGTACTCTCTTGTTTCTTTTTAAAATTATATTTCTGACAACCTCTTAAACTATGAAACACGTTGAGAATTCCACTATAATGAGAGAGGCATTATAATTGCTAAAAGAGTAAATCTTAAAATTTCTCATCACAAGAAAAAAAATTTTTTTATAACTATGTGAGGTGATGGATGTTAACTAAACTTATTTTAGTAGTCATTTCACAATACAAACATCTACCAAACCAATGGGTTGTATACCTAAAACTAATACAATGTTCTATGTCAATTATATATTAATTGGGCGTGGGGTAGGGACAAGATCTTCTGAAAAAAGGAAGAAAGCAGGTGATATGGGTTGAAAGGAGGGAAGGAGAACACCTGAAATGGCTGGTTAGGAACATGGGGGGAAGCTGATTCGGGACATGGAGTATATTAGATACAAGTTGAGAACAGGGCCTGTGGTAGCAGCAATCCCCACATAAAGTCATTTTACTCTCTCAGAGCTCAGCAGTGGGTATTAGAGCAGAGAAGGGGGCCAATGGATTGACCCAGAATTGAGGTTTTGTTTGGCAGGTGGCACCAGAACAGGAGTGTACTGGCTGCAGAACTTGACTGTGAGCAAATGGGTCTGGACTTAGAAGAGGGAAGGGCTAGGTGAAAATGAAGGGGCGACAAAGCTTAATATCTTTAATCCATAAGTTATCTAAACATCTCATTCGCTTTAACTAGAACATTATGAATAACTCTTCCCTTAAAACAATAGACAAAAATCAGGAACAGGAACTACAAATAACCTAACAAATATAGAGAGAATGTTCAGTCTCGTGAGTGGTCAGATAAATGAGAATTTAAACATGGAGGTATCCTTTTTACTTACCATGGTGGGAAAAAAAACACCTACTTTTAAAAAATGAATATACTTCATGGGGATGGATGAGAGGACAACTGTAGGAGTATAAATTAATATAAGAATCTTTAAGACTAATTGGTCTTTATTATTAAAGAATAATAATTATCTTTAAGAAGATAATTAGGCAATGATTTCTAGAAGCCTTAAAAATATTTAACCCTGGAATTAGTAATTTTACTCCCTGGAATTTATACTAAGGAAATAATGCAAAACAAAAACAAAAAAATGAACCCTAGCTGCTTTGGTTCAGTGGTTAGAGCATTGGCCTGTGGACTAACGGGTCCTGGGTTCGATTCCAGCCAAGGGCATGTACCTCAGTTGCAGGCTCAGCCCCCAGCCCTGGTCAGGGCATGTGCATGTGGCAACCAATTGATGTGTCTCTCTCCCATCGATGTTTCTCTCTCCCTTCCACTCTCTCTGAAAAGCGATAGAAAAAATATCCTCAGATGAGGATTTAAAAAAAGAGAGAGAGAGGCACACCCTCTCACTCCCTTGCCCCCCAGCAAGCACTATGCTTATATTCAAAGAGCCAAGTCAGATTAACCTTCAGGAATAATGGAACTTGGAGGCTGGAGGCTCTCTGTCCCCTGATTGACAGGCATCACAATAAAGCAGGATCTCTCAGTCTACTTCTCTACAGAGGCAGGTAAGTCTAAAGGCCCCCTAACTTTGTTGCTGTTGATTCCTACATTTCTGTAATTCCTAAGTTTCTATTAGCTCCTTGGTTATTACCACCCACTAGGCTGTGAACTCCTCAAGAGCAGGGACCAGTTTTACAGCATTTGTCTGTTTGTCTTGCACTCACCTGCACTCCCTTTTGCTAGCACTCACACGGCAGATGCCTAATAAATATTTGTGGAATTGGCTGTTTTTCCAGCTGTGCCCCACTCCATAATGCCCCATTCTCTACCTCTTTAGTTTGTACACTGGCTGAAGATCAAGTTGTTCTCTTTGTTCAGTTAATTATTCTTAAATGTTCTTGTGTATGTGCAAACCAATTGGCATTTCAGGGGTGCTATGTCTATTAATAGACTCTTGTCATATACCTTGCAGCAAGGTTCAGGGTCCATGTCTCTCTGAACCTATCAGCAGTAATAACTTCTCATAACTCTTACTAATAAAGGAACATGGTGATATGTGGGTAATAAAGCATGAGGAGGAGTCAGTTGACTCCTAGAAAGTTAAAACCAGGAGGAAGCTTAGGAAATGATGGCCTCACTC